TTCAGCCTTTGTACCTGTCGGCCTGTGTCCTCCCCACTCATCTGCCCTGCCTGTGGTGCATGATCTCCTCCTTTTTTGAAAACCTGTTCTAAACCCTAAACCCTAAGCCTCCAGCCTGCGAACCTGTGTTCCCGCCTCTCTTTGAGTCTGTCCTAACACCTTGCTCTTGTCCTTTGGTACCGTCCGTCTATCTCTGTGTTATCCATCCCAGGCTGTGGCAATTTATGCTTTGTCTGTTCCTCGCCTTTGAAAACTCCTCATTCAGCCTGTGTGTCTATTCTCCATCGTTCCCTCGAGTCAACCCTGTTCACATGTCCCCTGTTTCCTTTGTCCTTGTCCTGATCCAGGACTGCTTTGCTCATTGTTGGAAGCCTTGCATGTTTCTGATTGGTGCCGATCCTTCTTAGGTCCACCTGACTTGTCCGACTCTTTCTCTTTGCCGTTTAGTGCCCCTTTTGTAACAGGTCTCTTCTTGCTGTATCGTGTCTGCTTCCCCAGCCCGTAGTTCTGCAGTGAGTTCTCGCTCCCGTATTGTTCCTCCCCTTCCACTTTCCTGAGTCTGTTCTGGGCTGCTGCTCAGTCCTCCCCCTCGATACATCCTTTTYGCCTTCTCCGTTCCCCCTTTGTTGGCCTTCCTTGTCCTGTTTACACTGATGTTCCTCCTCTTCCATCTTAGTTTGTTTGGAAAGCCCCCTTCTGCATGAAGTCCCTGCTGATCAGCTGTTCCTGTTTCTGTCTGCTCTTTGTGCTAGAGCYCTTCTTCTGCTGTATCGTTGCCTTTCTCCTTCCCTCTGTTCCTCCGAGACRTTTTYCTTATTGAGAAGAGCGCTGTTCCCTTCTGTCTGTCATGACTCTTTTGGGATGTTAGTTTAGTGGAGCGCGTAGAGTTGTTGGACCGAGAAGGGAGATTTGTTGAGACTTGTTACTGCTTCCGTCGAATACTTTTCCGTGGGGGATATGTGTTAACTAAGATGGTGAAGACTGGATACGATTGCCTTGAGGCTACGACTGCATGTGTTGGAACGAGGCCGAGGTTGGGGATCAGTTGAGGGTGGTCAGACATTAGGTAAAGATCTCCTTCTTGTTAGTACCAGTCAGTGAAAAGTAGAGTGCTTCCCTCGACTTTTGCGATTCTGTTCTCCAAAAGCCATGTTTTTTTGAAAATTCTCAGACTCAGTTCTTTTTTGTCCGGTGTTATTAACCTTTGTTGATCTTTTTGCTCTTGGGTCCAGCGTGCTCTTACTTCCGTTTGTATTATGTTTTTTATTTCCGCCCATTTCTCCTCTAGAGATGCCGTTTGTCCCTCTAGAGTGCCCTTGCACCTTGCTTTCCATATTGCCCAGAGTGCTGCTCTCCTCCATAAGTCTGCCATCAGTAGTGTAGATTCCTCTAGTGCTTCTGTTTCTCGTCCTCCCGTTAGCAAATATACAGAGTTGCTAGGGAGGTTTTGGTTTGTTAGCCTTTGCCAGCTGTTTTTGGTTTTGTTCCACACTTCCTGAGCCTGTTGACATGTTATTTGGCAATGCACCAGGGATTCTTCTGCTTGGTCGTTACAAACTTTGCATGTGGACGTTTGTTGCTGGGAATCTTGCTGTTTTCTCCTTTTGGCCAACCATTGGTTGACTGGCACCGCCCAATACAGAACAAGCCACTGTAGCCTTCTGATCCTTACCAGTCTTATATTTGTATACTGGTTCGAAGGAATTTTATTCGCCCAACCTGCGTTTTCTCCCAAGTTTCTTTTCCACCTTTCTGAGATTACTGGGAGGGGGTCCCTTGTGCGATTGCCCAGTTTGTAGCCTATTTTGACTTCATAATCATATATAGGGGTGAGCTTCTTGGCTTTCCCTGAAACGCTAGGTACCATCCATCCCCATTCCGCTGGGTCTACTTCTAGATCTTTGATGTCTAGGTCTGGTCTGTACAGCCTGGTTCCGTTTATGTCTTGTTGCCTTGCAGGGTTTGGGTTTCTGTATTTTTTGAGTGAACATGCGCGTACTCTTTTGAGGGTATTGAGGTTTTCTGTTGTCCCTTGTTCTATTATTCTGCCTAATGTTACCCAAGATTTATGTGTTTCTTCTAGTTCGTAAGCCATGAAATCCGCTTTTCCTTCCTGCCCGTCTTTTATTTGGAGCAATTTGTACGCTCTGGTTGGGGGGGTTTCTTGCGAATCAATTTTGTGGCCCAGTCCCCTACCGCCCAATTTTTGCTTTTCAGGAGGAGAACCCATTTCAATGGTACACTTTCTTGAATTCTTGCTAATTGTTCCTTCAGATTGTGGATTCCTTTGAGTTTAGTTATGAGGTCTTGTTCTGACAACCATCTGTTTTGCTCTGAGTTCCAAATGTGCTCTATTTTCCACAGTCCCTTGCTCATCCACTTCCTCCATTGTTTGCCTTTTGTGTTCAGGGGCCATGGCTTATGGTTTTGGTCCGTAAGCAAGGGGTTTCCAAACAGCGGCTGCCTTAGGACTTCTTCTCTTATTCTAGGTGTTCTTATTTTTTGCGGGAGGCATGTTCTCCAGTGTTTTATTAATGTGGCCCAGTGCTCGCTTGTGGGGTCCTTTTCTTTTGCCTGTCCTCCCCCTTCTCTTCTTCTTGGGTTCGAGGAGGGATTGAGGAGGCAGTGGTACCCTTCGATGGTTGGGTCTACTTTGAAAGGAACCAAGTTTCGGATCTGGTGCAGGGCCATCTCGTGCCATGGCAATTCTCTGTTGAAGAGGAGTTTTATTATCCATTTGTGTTGCAGTGCTTGAAATTGTATCGTGGGGTTTAATATGCCCAGTCCCTCTTGATGCTTGGGCCTGGTAATGTATTTTCATGCTACCTTAGAGATGTTTCCGCCTTTCCAGTCCAAAGGTAAGAGCCCATCTTCTTTCTGAGGCTTACGAAAAAGCTTTGTGGTGGGTTCCAGAGGGACGCCACGTACCATCCTGTGGATAAAATTGACGTGTTGAGAACTAGCGCCCTTCCCATGAGTGATACATTGACTGCTTGCCAACCCGTCAGCTTGTTAGTCATTTTGAGAAGTAGGCTGGTTCCTGAGGAGTTGCTTGTTCCTTCTGATGTTGTTTGAATGCCTAGGAAACGGATTGGTTGTTGTGGGTCCAACCATTGTATACCTTGTGTATCTTGGGTTTGTTGGGGAGGTAGGGAAGGAGCTAGCCACCATCCTATTGTCTTATTCCAGTTTATTTTCATTTYAGCTGCTAACTGGAATGCTTGCATTGCTTTTRTGAGTGCTTGAAACGAGGAATCTGTCGCTCTAATGAGTACGGTCAGGTCGTCTGCGAATAGTATAGTTGTGGGGATGACTATTTTTCTTCCGTCTTGTTGGACTACTAGTCTTTCTATTGATGGGTCCTTACGGAGGTAGGCTGCAATTGCTTC